CTCCCATCTAAGCACCTCTGTACATTAGACGGGACTCACCGCCATCTGTATCATATGTTTTGGATTGCCGCCTATCTGCGGTCGATGACGTCCACGGTCCCCGGGAACCGCCACGGTTGTCCGCCCCTGCGTGCGCGTACTACGACTGCCTGGCTTGTGCGTGCAGCCCCTCTGGCCGGCCGCCCGCTCGTGTGCCCGGCAGGCGGCGGCGGCCGGGGAGCGTCCACAACGGAGGCCTCTGCCCATAAATCACGCGGCGGTCGCCGTCGTCGCCGTCGTGGCCGCCGCAGCGCCGCGCCGCCATTCGACTGACTAAATTGGATCGGAAATTGGTGGATAGAAGCGCTTCCCAAGCTCCTCAGCGGCAGCGACGAAACGCACGCACGCACACGTCTTCCTCTACCTCATCTACGCATTTCTCTTTTTCGTGTTTTGTGACCGCCACTGCTTTCGTTAGTCCCGTAAATGTAGTGCAGGTTATATCCCGGGCTGTGGCGGTGTTCCTTCCCCGCTCGAATGTGGAATCAGGCACCGACCAACCGTTTCTGTGAGGTTTCCTTGCACTGACACCCGCCTGGACTTGTTTTTGGAGACACCACAGAAAACTTACCGAACGGCGGCCGGCCACTAGAATCTCATGCAGAAGCAACGGTAACTATAGATTTTAACCACAGAATTATGAATGTAAATATTTCTTAAAAGTCTAAAGGTGTGTTTTGCTTGCATTCTAGCAACATATAGATGCACAATTGCACGTATCAAGCGAGCATTCTCCAGTTGGCGAGAAGACAAGAAATAATAGGTAGTAAACAGGTTCAAGCAGAAGTTCCCTAACGATTGCGAAAGAAATGTGAATATTTTTAACATGTTTTGCATCGATATTTGACAATCACTCATAACATGGAGCCGACAATACACTCATATTCGCACTGTTATGCCTCCACATCGCAACCGCAAAGAGGCCTGGCTTTGGAGACATTCAAACGCACAATCCAAGTGATAAATTATTGCTACTACATTCTGTTGGTGACAGGTACATACTAGGTCAGCCACCAACATCAGGGAAGACCGTATAATCTTCCTGCTGTAATTCTGAAGTTATCCAAAGCAACCACAGCTTTTATTACTTTTGTAAAAAATAATTATTACGCGTTTAACGCCTTAAAACCTCGATAGGATGGTTTCAATATCCACATTGGGTGATCTGATCTGTATGATCATACCAGCCCTGAGGAAGACCACGACAGGATGGTCGAAACGTCGGCAACTCAGCCTTCGACGTGGCGTCACCCGGACAGCTTAGATCACCCACGTGACTCAGGCCGCGGAAGCCTACGACTTCAATATCCACATTGTTTACTCCAATTCATTTTTGGCTTTCCTACTGTTTCCGGAAATCTAAGGTTTCACGGAAAAGCGGCCACTCGCTTTATATATATTTTCCTTCCTCCTTCAATTAGCTCGTAACTTAAGAGCAATATATAAGAGCCCTGTAGTTATGGTTTCTTTGGTTTCGACCCCAATATTTCGGGATGTGATTACGTACAATTCAAGTGCTACTGTGTAAGTAACCTAATTTATTAAACTATTTTCAAAACTGGTAGGAGGGAATTAAAAGCAAGTACTTTTTTATCAGTCGATCTGGTAACCAAGCGCGTGTAATTACGGCAGAATAACTTACTTCTTCCCAAATCTGGAACTTCAGGGCTCCAGTATACCTCTTCTACAGCCACGGATTGGAACAAGAAGCACAGTTCGTCCTATTCATATCTTTCAGCGTCAGCCATACCCACAGGAAAGATGCTTCATTAATAGATTAATTATTATTATTATATTCAATTACGAATTAGGAGCCTTTAAATCAAATTTAAAAAAAAACATCTGCCTAATGGGTGTGTGAATATGTAAATAATTTTGAAAATAACTAACGCCTTAGGTGTATATTGTCCTTTAGAAACTTTGTATTGGAAACACTTAAATACAATATCACTGGCTGCTTATGCAAAGCTTTCCGGAACCAGAAGCATGTTCACTTCCGAGCGACTAAAAATTGTGGATGTTACGCCCTGGCAACATTTGCGTGACTGATTCTCCTTTTCAGCCCCCCCCC